CCCAGTTAAGTGAACTCTCACCTTCCACCCTTGTGCAGCAACCAGAAGATGACTGTACTTGAATAAATGTAGATTGTTTTACCTGAAAATAAAATAAAACATCCCCTGAAAATAAGCCCTAATGTGTTTTTGGAGCAAAAATTAATATAAGACCCTGTCTTATTTTCGGAGAAACGGTAGGACAGCCATTTTTTGATGCCAGATTGTCATTGCAGCCCAGGTGCCATGGGGCAGAGCATAAATTGGAAGGAGAGAAAAATAAATTGAAAAATTCATCATTTTCTCTGTCTTTGAGGACTCAAGCACAAAATGCTAATCTCGGCCTCAGAGGGGAAATAGCTCTCCTGCATATTTGAGAAAATGTGAAGCCCTTTCAAGAAAATCTAATAAACATAATCATTGCAGCCTGCTGACACGAAGGAAAAAGGGACTCATTCACTCTTTCTTTTTTTTATGCTGCAATTTAGTGGCCCCTACTGATTTACAAATTGGATCACTACAGTAAATTACCCATGCCAGTACCTGTGAAAGTAAGCACTCAAATCCATATTTGTTTGGAGTACTGCTTAAATCAGCAAAAAATGATAAATTCAGTGGTTTGAAATTGGAAATACCCAGGGGTTTGTGCAGTGATTGAACAAAATGTCTCCACACATAATTTATTGTGACCCTCTTTCATTCTAGACACTTTGTATGTCTAATATTTATTTCAACACAAATTAAATTGCTCCCTCTGATACTGTCACATCTCTGGTTTTATTGATGTTGTCAAAAATCACAGTTGTTTCCCCTGCTGCCTGGATTCGAAACAGTCACAGCCACACCTGTTTATTTTGTAAAGGGAAGTTTGTTATTAGAGCTCTGGTTCCTTTTGATTTTCTATTGCTTTGCCAGAGTGCAAGACACAAAATTTGGTATGTTGACTTTTGTGGTGATAGTGGGGATCACTGTTGTGGAAGTAATGAAATGAATTGCTAGCAGAGAAGAATTGTGCCCAATTATATTCTTAGCTGCCATTAATGCTGTGGTGTATCATGTGCTCTCAGGCCTATTCTGTCATGGTGACCTGTTTTTCAGGTAGATAATACTGTATTCAGAAGTAGTTTCCCATTCCCTTCTGATGACATCCTGGGCCTGTGCAGCTTGCCCAAGGCCACACAGGCTGACTCTTCTCCCAGGACGCATAGAGGGGAATTGAACTCCCAACCTCTGGTTCCACAGCCAGATACCTAAACCACTGAGCTATCCAGTGGTGCTTATTTACCCATAAATCAGAATCCCAATACTATTCAGGTTTCCAGTAACACTGTTGAAGCAAAACAATTGTGGACTAGATTAATCTGTGTTGCTTTGAGCTCCCTGCACTATTTTGGAAGAAGACAAGTTAAAAATCCAGCAAATGATGAGAGACCAGGAAGAACTGTCCCGTATGTAATATAGTGTGAAAATATTTTTTTAAATAACAATTGTACCATCATGATCTTAAGAAGAGGAGGAGAAACAAGTTGTAGCTGCCTCTGCTACCACCAAGCTTAAGGAACTGCGATACCTCAAGAAAATAGGCTGTTACTACTAGCCAGACCTACCTCACCTCCATCTATTTTTTCCACCATTGTTTCAGTCATACCCAAATAACATTTTTTTTCTGGCATGAAGATAAATGCTGTGATAAGATTCATCCTTTATTTCTGTCTTCTCACTTACTGTTAAAAGCAGAGGAGCACAACTGGGCAAGAAAAGTACTGGCCCCACTGATCAGTTCTTTGTAGCTTTTTCTTACAGACCATTTGAGAACCACTTGATTGATTGATTGATTGATTTTATTTTATTTGATTTGATTTGTATCCCACCCATCTGGTCTATGCGACCACTCTGAGCAGCTTCGTGACCCCATTCATTCTAGACACTTGGAAGAGAGTAAAGGAGAGAAAGAGAAAGAAGGCTGGCAATGGAGATGGGTGAGAGAAAGAGGTGATGCAAATGGGATGAAGGCAAAAATAGTAAGGTGGAAAACAACAATCTGAAGCCCATTCAGTGGTTGGACCGCTAACTGCAAGTTTGAAGTAGAAGTGGTTGCTGACTACCTGAAGGCCAGAGATGAAATCTCTTTGTTGCACTGTTCTCACATGCTCTTGCACACATGCATGCACATCTCTTGAGAATGGACTGGCCAGGACAACAAAAACTTAGTTCCATTCATTTTTAAAAGTGTTGTTGCAATTATTGGTGTGTATCTTTGAGCAGTTTCCAAGCAAGCCTGTGGTTCAAATCAAGGCATAGTTCTAATTAAGAGTTACACAGCTGTGTCTCTCCTGGAGAACAGCCTAATGATCTCTTCTATATCCCTAAGCACTGCCCCCTGGTGGTAATTAACAGACTGATTGTATACAATACTGTATTTACAGAACTGGAGGATTATAAAGCTTTTAAGACTCTTGCTTCGGCCAGTGCTAGGGGTGGTTCTGGGTAAAACAATTACAGCACCAGCCACAGCCTTACTGAAATGGCTGTAGTGTAGACCATTCCTCACTGTCTCAAGAATGCAGACATCATTAGTCTGTGATCAACATAATATAAGCCCTAACCCAAAAATAGTGCCCCCCAAACTTTGCATAACATCTTGCCCAATAAAGACCTGAGACTGGAAGATCTTGAAAGTGTCCTTTTTATTGGCTTAATAAAGGTATTGCATTAATACGCACTGTAGAATTTTCATCCCCATCTCTTTAATTCAACATTTTTGGCAGTAGTGCAACCACCCAAGTTGTTTTGTTTTTCTTTTTGGCTCTCAGTAATATTGAGACTGTTCGTCTTCCATCTTGGAAGGTGTTAAGCAGCAAATCTTGAGAAGTTTAACTTCAGAATAGTTTTGAAGCCTATTGATTGGGCAGGATGCATGTTGCCTCAGGTACCTGATCCCTGTGTCAAAACTGGATTGTTAAGAGAATCCCTGTTAAGTGGATGCAGGTTGATTTTATGAACATCTGGTGGGAGGAGTTTAGCCTTTCCTTGTCCCACAAATCCTTGCCTTCCCAATCTAGCTTATCACTGAGAAGTGGGAACATGAAATGACACTTTAAAAATGGTTTAAATGAGGGATGAGCAACTGGTGGCCCTCCAGAAGCTATTGGATTGCCATTTTTTCTTGCCTCTACAATCATTGTGCTGGGTAGGGGTGATGGGTGTTATAGATGAACAACATTAGAGGGCCACATGTTGTGCACCTCTACTTTAAAGTAAGGTCCAAATTCTAGGTTCATTTCATGATGACGTAAATTGTTGAACTGCATCACAAAATGTTACATCTGTGGATGATAGTGTACTGAATAGACTCAAACAGGATCCTACCATTATAGTCTTCAGGGATTCACAGCATGGTTTGATAAACACCTCTGTTATCAAATGACTTCCCATTTACTATGGGAAGAGTTGTCAGTCAGTTGTAGAGCACACTTGGAGAATCTGGCAGTATACTCCCTGATTCATTTTTCTGACTTTCCTGTATCAATTTTATACTTAATCTAGCTTGGATGCTATTATGCTCCAGGTTTATGTGGAAGTGGTTTCGAATCCAGGGAAGCTTGCATTGACATAACCTGTTAGACCTTTGCTGAAACAAATCTGTTAGTCTTAAGGTACCACAATACTTTTGCTTTCATGTTTGTCTTATATAGTCAGAGTTGACAAAGGAATCAGTTATTTGAATACAAGGCAGCTTCTTATGCTCCTGAAGCAAGCTAGTGAATGAACCTCAGGACCATGGACAGCTTCTAGGCTACAGACCATCTATGATGATGATGGCCTGAAACAAATCAAGTGACCTTATGCCTTCTGAGCCAATTTAATGACAGACATCTTCCCCAGGAGCTGGAATTTGTCTCCTTGACATCTTGTGTTCTGGGTTTAGATACTCTTTATACTGGTGACAACATTCAAGCATACAACATGGCTGCATCTCACTTCAGTGCTGAATGTGATCAGCTATTTATTGCCTCCATAATTCTTATTCCTAACCTAGTAGAACCTTATTACCACATCCTACTACATAATATAAATTTCAATATCTTTTACAGCCACATTGTAAGTATTTTTAAAACAGCATTGTGTTACTTCTGAATTTCATGAAGGCCAAATCTATGTGCACTTCAGAAGTAAGCTCCAGTGAGTTCATTCTGGACTTCAGGCTGTCATAAAAAGACAATAATTTGTTCATTATATATTTTTACTACTAATACTGGGGGCAAGCACTTAAAGGATCTGTTTCCTTCACCAAAATAACCTCTCTGGCTTTTATTAGCAGGGACATTTTGTGTGTTTTTGGCCACTTGGCCAAAGTAATTTAACTAGCACCCAGCTATGTCAAAGTGTGCAATACCCCAGCTAGAGAGGCCATCATTTGCTTCAAGCAGCAAAATGTCACAGTTTGCGGGTGTTGGTGAGGGCAAACGTTTGTCCCTCCGGGGCAGGGAGTGATATGTTCTGGGCCGCCCGTGGCCAATGTGGGCAGAATGATGCGAGGGGTGAGGGGGAATGACTCTGGATTGCCCGGTGAGGGATGGGCGAGACTTAAGACACAGAGCAGACATCCGGAGAGTGCAAAGGGCCACAGGACGGAACGCTCACGGCCGAGGCATTTCGGGACGGGCACCAGGGACACGTGTTTATATACTAACGCCAAGTGTCTACCGTTACGTGCAACACGAAAGAACGATATCCCAGCAAATGCTAGCATTCGAGTCTTTCACTTCCGCATCCCGCCCGCAAGGCTTTAACCAGGACCTACATATCGCAGAATGAGGAGGTCGAAGGGACTGTACTACTTCAGACTGCGGGGGTGGGAGCAGTGAAGACCCCCCCCCGCCCCGTTCCTGTTAAACCTCCCATACCGCGAGACCAAAGACGAAAGCTACGCATACTCTGTCACGCGCTCCATTCTCCTCCCCCCGTAACTTATGCGCGCCCCCGCATGCGTACTGGTTCTTCCGGATGTCGTAGAACCATAGATGTCGCGGGCATAGAGTGGCCAAGGTGCCGCTCTACATCCGGATCCTGCGGCGCTGCCTTCGGCCGATGGGGTCCGAGCTGTAGTCGGGTGCCGGCAGAGGCCGGGCGTATCAATGAGGAGGGTGCTGCGCCCGCTCTCCGCTCCTTTCGCCTCACACCCGCGCTTCAACCGGCGTCGGCGTCGGCGGCGCAGGTGGTGACCGAGCGAGTAGCCCGAAAGCGGGGAGAATGCTGCCGGCTTTGGCCGCCCGGCGGAGGGGGTGGGGCTGTTTCTACCAACTTCACCTGCTGAGGCGGAGGGTCCCGCGGCCGTTGGGCCCTCCCTTCGCCAGGACGGCCTGCCACGGTGAGTGGGCGAGAGGCGGAGGGGAGGGGGGTGTCGGTGGGCTCTCTCGACTCGGTACCTGCGCCGCTCTCCTCCCTCCCTCCCTCCCTTCCTTATGGTTTCCCGCGGTTCTGAGGAGGACTCGACCTGGCCTTTTTAAGCCGGGTGGAATGAGGTGTTGCTGCCCCCCGAACAACTCGAGTAGGGGGGCCTGCCTGGAGCAGGATGGAGGTCAAGAGCCCGACTCCTGGAGTTGACTGACGTTAGGGCAAGCCGCTGTTAACGTGAAGCAAGTTGGAAGGGGCACGTTACAAGTTAGGACAGTACCTTTGGGACTGGCCCGAAATCTGCAATGCAAGGAGTAATCCTGGCCTTCCTGGCAGGTTGTTTCTAAGGATCGCCGAGATGAAGTGTATGAAATATGTCGAGCACTGTTACTTCTTTAACAGGTAACTCTATGTTAGGCGGACGGGTGGAAGGCTTGGCCTTTTGGGGTCCCCGCCAGCAAAGAGCAGGCTGTTCTGTTTTAGGGTGGAGACCCTCCACTGCAGCATTGTGGCCTCCGGTTTAGCAATTTACGCTTTCCCGGACAGATACGAATGGCAAGCTTTCACTTCTCTGTGACTGATTATGGATTTGTTCCCTCTCTCTGGTGCCCCTGCCCCTCGGCCCTGAACCTGTTGTTGAGAGAGCTTGGCTTTTTAATCGCTACAGCAGCGACCTGAACCCTGCTTGACGATCATGCTGTAAGTGTGTGATGGAACAAGAAGTGATTCTGCAGCTCTTAGCTGTCTTATCATAGGCTGTGCTACCTAGGGCTGATGGGAGTTGCAGTCCACCAACCTCTGTTTTGGAGTATGGTGGAACATGGTGAGCTGACCTCTGTCTGCAATGTTTTACCTGACCCAAAGAAGTCAGTGTTCCTAATTAAGTCTTTCTCTTTCGTCCAGATCCATGTTTGTTACCCTAGCCTGGCCTCCTGCAATTGTTCTGCACTCTTCATAAGCTGTTTCTTTTAACTTTTGGGAAAAGCTTTAGTTTGAGCTGGAAGTCAACAGGGTTTGGTTTTAGGCTCCATTATTTGCTAATACAGTAAGTTGCACGAAGAATAAAAGTTTAGTTGACAACGAGCATGACTTTTTAACAAGTGTGAACTGCAAACATCTTTTATTTAAAACAAGAATTATCTGAGTGCCATATTCAGTGGACATTGTAGAGGGAGACAGCATCTCATTTACAGCCCTTTTTTCTTAAGGTCATGAGTGGCTTACATTGTGATCCATACAGTCTCTCATTCAGTCATCAATTAGGGCCAGATATGCTTATTGCAGCAGTGGAGTTGAATCATGTGCTTTCAGTGAATATGCATTGCTGGTTGCAAGCAAAATTAAGCCTGGAAGTAGAGAAGTGAATATGAACATTCAGATATTAAAATTCACTCTTAATATGCTTCCTGTTTCTGATTGGCATTCTACAGTGCCCAGCTGATTCCCAGTTTCCTCTCTTCTTCTCAGGTTTAATGATGAATGTACTATAATGTACATAACATGTTACATCCCCAAGGAGTGTTTGACCTCCTTTTTTTCTGGTATACGTGCTGCTCTTCAGGTATAATAAAATTTTACTGACTGTACTGGCATAGGTAGTGTAATACTGTCTACTTGCGAAATACCTCTTTGAGATTTTGGGCTAAAGTCTTGTTGTAGCCCCACTGCCTGAAACAGTACCTAGAACAGGGGTTCCCAACCTTTTTTGAGTCAGGAACGCCTTTTATAATAGCCAAATAAGATTGACCTCATCAATCTTGTTGCTTAGTGTAGTTAGTTGCACTAGTATGCCCATTGAAATTAATGGAGATTTGGTGAGTCAACTCCTCTCTAAGTTCCATTGATTCAAGTGGGCTTACTTGAGTTGTGATTTACTACACTAAGCAACAAGATTTCAGCCTACATGTCTAATACTATCTATTAGTATTAGTGGTGGTGGTCATCAACAACAACAGGGTAATAGCACTTTAACACAGGACATAATTTTTGACACAGAGATTGTTTTTAAACCACAAATTCTGAGGTAGTGTAATAGTACAAAAAGATTCTAACGTTTGTTTAAAGCAGTAATTTTATTACTCTATGGTTTTATTCCTGCTAATCACTCTTCAACAGTTATTAATCACAAAGAGAGAGAGATGGGAGGCAAAATTTTGTTTGCATATATTTGCTGTTTCTTATTTCTGAAGTTGAGGTCTGATAATACAGTATGTTACAAATCCAAATGTTTAAGTACATGGAGATGGCAAATAGTCTCATAGTTAAGTCCCCTTGCATTGCTGCTTCTAAAGATGACAACCCCAATGCCCTCCTGTGATGGAATGGAGTACAGTATTTGGGAAAATACTGCTTCAACCTGTGATTGATGTTATGACTGAGGCAGAATGCAAGCGCAACGGAAAAGTCAGTGTGCGAAAGAAGATTTTGTGCCTTGCCTTCCTATTTGGAACTCCTCAAAGAAGCAGCTAGCGTGCCTTTGTTATCTTTTACCAAAAATACTTCAAAGTGGATTAGGCTAACAGTTTAACATCTCCTACATTTAAAAGCATTCTCTCTAATGTACATTGTTTATCGAGAAATAGTTGCCTTCTATACTTCAGGAAATGTGAATGTTGGGTTCTGGGAAGGTGAGAGGAAGGAAGCTACCCAATGTCTTGATAACAGATGAAAAGGATTACAGTGGATGAAAGGTAATTAAGTGCTACTGGCAGCATGCCATCCAAAATGGCCGTTAATCTATATATAAAGTCTGCAGTGATAGTTTCCTTGAGTCTTAGAGTCCTCCCAAGGAAGGAACCCTTCATTTTTTTGTTACTCACAAGTGGACCTCATCTGTCTTCACGTGAGCATGGAACAGGCTAACATCCTAAGTCTTCACTGTATTATGGTTCCATTCTACTGAGAAACACAATTGGAGTAACTGAGTGGGATCTACAGTATTTACTTTTTGTAATTTTTTTGTTCTTTTCTTTTAATAAAATAGACAAAAACCTTTCCAGCTGTTGATTGCATTTTGTGTGCAGAGGAAGTCTGGGTACTGCATAGTGTGCCTTGGGGCTCACTCTGCTACTGCTTTCATAAATGACAGATGGGGGTAGTTGCAGTGATACTCCCTAGAAGCACGGACAACTTAGAGAAAGCTGGGTGTTGGTGGTTAAAAAGTGATTTCCAATTAAGCTGACTCTCTCCTTCACTGCTTCCTTGCATTCCCCTAGGAGGAGAATGGAAAAGCTCCTATCTGAGGGGCAGCAACCACACTCATGACACCTCCATACTTACATGATTTTGGATTTTAGTGCTACATCTCTTGCTTAATTTATATCCCTTCTGGAAGAGCTGAATATTGTGCTAATACTGTATTACCATTTTACTCTATATTATGCAAGTTTTAGATCATGTTTATTATATATTGTAACCATTATGTATTATTGTGTTTTTGTCTTTTAGGATCATGCATGTTTCTGCCATTTGTTGGTGCTGTTGTACCACATTAATGACATCCTTTTCATTTTGTGATATGATTTTCTATAAGGAAAAGTACATAGGAAGGTCATTTTATGGCTTCTCTGTGCCAAAAGGCTTTGAAACAAGGTGTCGGCAGTTCTTAAAAAAATAACAATTTCATTCAACATCCATTGCCTCATTAATTGTATTGATCTATTCCCGTTAAGACACGGTAACATTCCTGCCAAACTTCAGAGCATTTATTAGTCACTGTAGATATGAACCAGTCTGCTTGCACAAGATTACCAGTGTTAATTGTTTAGTGCTCATCTGTGGCCTGAAAGGACAAGAGTGTAGTTTTTGATCTCATAAAAATATATATACATCTGACTGTTCAAAATACCATCTTATTTGTCAAGGATGACTGGCAAGTGACTGTTTACAAACTGGTACAATATTCTGTGCTCTCAGTAGAGTTTGTTGTGGCAGCAGCTTATTTTTAAAGTAGCCGGATAGTCAGGATAACATAGTAATTTTAATGGAACATAACATTTGGGGAGCTCTATATGCATACAAATATGAAGAGTTGAGAATCGTAATAAGAAAATCTCAGGAATGTCTTTGAGGAACAGTTTAGACACAAATGCTTTGTGTAATATAACTCCAAGTGACCTAATACCAACATGGTTCTTGAGGTAGCACCAGGATTTTGGGCCCCTCCTTCCTTCCCTGCAACCCTCCCTATGAAAACATAGTGCTGGTTGCCACCTTTCTCCCTAGAGATTTCTGGGACTGCAGTTCATGATCCTGCTGCAGTGACTCCTGCCCATGTTCTTGATAGATCTGACTTTATGTTTTGTAGAGAAGAATTTCCAGACTTCTGTTTATGGTTTGAGCATCAAGGATTTTATAACAAGAAGGTTACTTCCTTGCTATTTCAGTGTTCCATCTACTAAAGAACCTATGTATTTTGCTGAAGGATTGAGCCAGTTATTTGGATTTTTAAAATTTGTAGTGTTATGGCACCTGATTTGAACATCTCCAGCCTGTTTCTGTGTTGTGCCGTGAGACTGCATCTGAATGCAGGTTCCATGGCTTGAATATCATCTGTTTTCCCTGCTGCATGTTATTCTGTTTTTGCTTCCCCTGTTGCTTGATAAAAGAAAAATTAATAATAACAAAAGAGAATCCCATTAAAATAAAGTGTGCCAAATAGAATAATATGACTATGTCCTAAAATAAACTATAAAATATTCAAAAGGTACAATACCACATCCAAAGTAACGTTAATGATGTAAAGCACACTAAAAGAATAGAATTGCATTTCAGGGGTAGCATAATCACCACAGTGCTGCTTAGATGAAAAGTTTCATGAAGAATGAAAGGGAGGGAGAAGTTTAGCCAGGTATACCCAGCATGTTATTTTGGATGTTTAGGGGTCTTAATTGAAGAGGTATGATTTTGCTGCCCCCAGCCTTTTGCTGGATGAGTAAAGATTCAGCAAAGGATGCGACTTTTAATACCAAATTATATTTAAGAGACACACTAATGTGAAAAGAAATATCTAGCAGTTCTGTTGTCCTTTCCATTCACTTTCATTCTGCTGCCTTCTGTGTATTTTTTAAAAATGGTATAGATTCTGTATCTTCATATGGTTTTAGGTAAGGTTCTTATTGGGGATAATGAAAGTTGTAATAATTACCTCTGGAAAATTAAGGAAGCTACCATTACTAAACACAGGCCCAATGTTGCTAATTTATGTGGTCTGTATAAACTGCAGTAATGATTGAATAAATGATGCCAACCTTTTTCTTTTTCTTGGGGACGCAGTGTAGATGTGTATCTTCCCTTTCCATAGAAGTCTCTAGTCTGTAATTTAGTTAATGGTCATTGTATTGCAGCCTTTTCACTTCCATTGATCAAAGGTCAGTCTTCTGTTTTATTTTCAGCACTTTTGCCAGTTGGATCCATACAACAGTTGACAATCTAATCTCTTCTTAACTCATCTTTTACTTTTCCCAAAGAAACTTTGTGGTCTTCTGAGAGTATGAAACAATTTTTCCTCCCTCTTTCCTTCAGGATGGCAGGTGCCTATTAAATTTCAAAGTACCTTGCCCAAGCTGCCAGCTAGCTATCTTCCTGTACATACAAGTCAAGTAAGAGTTTATACCTCTGATGGTCAGAAAGAGAACACAGGAGCACAAGATCCAAGTTCTTCATCAAGTTCTGCAGGCAGTGCACAAAAGATACCAACAGGTATGCCTACCTTGACTTAAACTTTGTTTTTTTAACTGTTTTACATTAATGAGTAGTTGCCACCTTTCTGCCTAGAGATTTCTGAGACAGCAGTTCATGATCTTGCTGCAGTGACTCCTGCCCATGTTTTTGATAGATTTGACTTTATGTTTTCTAGAGAAGAATTTGCAAACTTCTGTTTATGGTTCTGAATATCAAGGATCTTGAAAAAAGAAGTTTCTTCTACTTCCTTGCTATTTCAATGTTCCCATGTACTAGAGCAGTGGTGCCCAAACTTTTTAACACTGTGGGCCGGTTGAGGAAGATGAAAGATTTCATGAAGGGGCTGGTGCGTGTTCATGCGGGCACACGAACACTCGTGCGCATCTGCAAAAGAGCGGGGGCCCTAGCATGGCTGCGCATGCACTTGTGCACATGCACAAAGGGGTGTGTGTGTGCTTGCATGGGTGTGTGCACAGTTGTGCACATGCATGAAGGAGTGGGGGCCTCGTGTGGGCGCATGCACACGCACATTGTGAAGAGCGGGGGTGCTCAGCACTTGAACACATGCGCGAAGGGGTGGGGGGCACTCACATGGGCGCACATGCACAATGGGGCTGTGCGGGGGGAGTGCGTGCAGGGGGTGTGAGAGATCTGTCTCAGCTTCCTGGTCCAGCCCATGCCGTGGACTGGCACTGGGCCGTGGACTGGTGGTTGGGGACCCCTGTACTAAAGAGTCTGTGTGTTTTGCTGAAGGATTGAGCCAGTTCCAAATAACAGTTGGATTTTTTAATTTGTAGTATTAGGGAACCTGGTTTGAGTATCTCGAGTATCCGTGTTGTGCTGTGAGACTGTATCTAAATGCAGGTTCCTTGGCTTGAATATCATCTGTTTTCCCTGCTGCATGTTATTCTGTTTTTGCTTCCCCTGTTGCTTGATAAAAGAAAAATTAATAACAACAAAAGAGAATGCCATTAAAATAAAGTGTGCCAAATAACATGACTATGTCTTAAAATAAACTGTAAAACATTTAAAAGGTACAATATCATATCTAAAGTAATGTCAGTGATTTAAAGCACACTAAAAGAATAGAATTGCATTTCTGGGGTAGCATAATAGCAACAGTGCTGTTTAGATTAAAGATTCCATGAACAGTGAAAGGGAGGGAGAAGTTTAGCCAGCTGGATACTCAGATAAAGTTTTGAAAGAAATAATATAATTTTGTCCCTTTGCTGTTAAAGTGAGGAGTCTGGCCATTGTTTCTGTTATCATTTTATTCACAACTGCCAAAAGATGTGTTAGAAATCTGTTATGTGACCTGTTTGGAAATTTTTAAAAGGAGAGGTGTTACCAGTCATCTGCTTCTAACATATGTATAAAAGTCACATACAAATAAGACATGTCAGTGACTCTATGACCCCTCACCACATGGTTAGAGACTGTTGTAGTAATGGATGCCAGAAGAATTTGGTACTGCAAAAGGGAAGCCATTAAACCCGGATGTGGAAGAAAATTAGCAATACTTTGGGATGGCAGAAAACTCAAGATACTGCACAGGAAAAGATAGACAGAACAACCTAGTGAGAGTTGTAGGTTGTTGGATATCTATATCCCTGTTCCTAGAAGGGAGAAATGATTTTACCCTTTGATAATTGAAGGAGGGCAGAAAAGTTCTAGACAAGCCTGAAGTTTGAATTAGGGCTTTATACTAATGAATGAATCCTTCTGGGGACACAACACAAGTCTCTGGGAAATGTCAGTATAATCAGCTTCAGCCAGAATTGTAGGGCTTAGGGATCATGCTAGATATTAACTCAGAGATGGGTAATGTCTCCCCATCCCTGATGTTTTGTCTTATTTGCCGCACTGACTATGGCCAGTGGTAGAGGATTCTGGACATTGTTCAAACATCTAGAAGGTCAAGGGTTCCCCAACTTTAATTGAAATGAATTAATGAGGAGCTAAAGCAACTACTTGTTGGCTCTCTGATATGAAGAAGAGTGCCAAAGGTGAAGAAGCTTGTAAAACTCTGAATTATGTTGTATGTTTTGAAATATTTGTTTCGGAATCCCTATTCTGATGCTGAGATTCTAGATGTGTATACTTGGAATGTTGACTTCAGTTATTCTAAATTAACTAACCTAGATTAGAAATGTAGGAATAGGTAATACCTTTAATTAACCATTAAGAATATAAAACAAGAACAGTGATGATAAATTATAATAAAGATAATTTATTGTCAGAAGCTCACTGTTTTTAAGGACCTTCATTTCCCCTCAAGAAATCTGTGACCGCCTGGAACATGCCCTCCTACAAGAAAGAATCCATACAACCCACAAAAAACTGGACTCCACAGACAAGGAACTACTATTCCTACACATCAATATCAGTCAAAAAAATGAGAAGTCAAGATTGGGACAAGATCGGTATCCTCTCCTACAGAAAGATGGAAAAAGAAATGGTGAACCACACAGCCAGACAAAAACAGAAATTCAACAAATGCCAAAGAAGCCAATAGAAACCTACACTAAACACCTCACACATCATCATCAACCTATCTGAACGCCAACTCTCCCCGGAAGAAACCTCGGTCTTAGCCAAAGGAGTCACACCCAGTAAAATCCCTGTGGAAGACATCATTGCCAACATGGAATCAGCATTATATCATCTTCCAGAACAAAAAGCAGAAGAAATAAGAGGTGAAGTGACAAGGATCCTACAAAAAGCAAACCCCCCAAAAAGCAACAGAACAGGAGAGAAATGCTATCAAGTTCCTAAACTCAGATCCGGACATCATCATTTTGCCAGCAGACAAAGGCAACACCACAGTAATCATGGAAACAGAAGAATACAAGGACAAAATCAGGGAACATCTAGACCCCACCACCTACAGAAAACTGAAACGGGACCCAACCAACAAAATCACAAAACAAACAAACATGCTGATCACGAGTTCCTCCCTGCACCCCAACATCCTTCAACGAACCTGCAAGACAGAAACTCTCTCACCAAGATTATACGGACTCCCCAAAATCCATAAAGACTCAATCCCACTCAGGCCCATTGTAAGTGCCATCGGCTCCCCAACATATGAATTAGCAAAATACCTAGCCACCCTCCTACAGACCCACATTGGACAAACCTCATCCTACATCAAAGACTCAAGACATTTCATAAGCAAGATCAGCATCCTAAAACTCAAGCCCGGGGACAGACTGATCAGCTTTGACGTAGTATCCCAATTCACCAAGGTACCGATAAAGGACACTCTGACACTCCTCCAGCAGATCTTTCAAGAAGACACCAAGGCCCTTTTCCAACACTGCCTAACAGCCTGCTACTTTCAGTAGGTCAATGAGTTCTGTGAACAGACAGATGGAGTGGCCATGGGGAGCCCTCTCGGCCGGTTATAGCAAACTTCTACATGGAACATTTTGAAAAACAGGCCCTGGCTTCGGCACCCTTCACACCCACAGTCTGGTTCCAATACGTGGATGACACCTTCACAATTTAGAACCACAATGAAGAAAAACTGGAAGAATTTCTAAACCATCATAACAGCACCCACCCATATATACAATTCACCATGGAAATAGAGAGCCAACTCCCGTTCTTAGATGTCATGGTCATACGCAGAACTGACCTCCTATTGGGACACAAAGTCTACAGAAAACCCACCCACACAGACCAGTACCTACACAAAAACTCCAACCACCACCCATGACAGAAAAGAGGCATAATCAAAACACTGGTAGACAGTGCAAATCGGAACTGTGAAGCTCAATTTCTCAGCACTGAACTCAACCATCTGAATTGGGCCCTACAGGTGAATGGCTATTCCAAGAATGAAATTACAAGAGCCATCAAACCAAGAAAACAACACCAAAATGGACCACATGGGGAAACTTTTGAAAAAACACAACCTACAAACAGTATTCAGATGCACCACAAAAATACAACAAATGTTACGGTCAGCAAAGGACAGAAAGGGACCCCCCTCACCACAGTGGGAGTATACCGGATACCTTGCAGTTGTGGCCAGGTATATATTGGGACCACAAAATACAGCATCCACACCAGAATTAAAGAACATGAAAGACCCTGCAGACTAAAACAACCGGGAAAATTGGCAATAGCTGAACACACCCTGAAACAAGCTGGACATGAAATTCTATTTCAAAATACTGAAGTACTGGACAACACCAGCAATCATTATGTTAGACTCTACAGGGAAGCCATTGAAATCCATAAACACCAGCAGAGCTTCAACAACAAAGAGGAGTGTCTAAAACTTAATACGGCCTTGCTCCCAGCACTGAAAAAATACAGCCTGCAAAAGGTCAACGAACTACCCAGCCACAAGGACCAGGGATCATTGCACACAAAAGACCAGCTAAAGACACCCACCAATCACATTGACAGATAATCTCTCCCCCTTATCACAACAATGCATCCACAACCAAAACACGCTGATCGCCATCATCACCCTATCTCCTGTAAAGGACAAAAGCTGTTCCCACAGCTATAAATACTCAACCATCAAACGAACAGCAACAGAGCATGGACAGAGTTCCTACTCCTGTTCCTCTGAAGATGCCAGCCACAGAGACTGGTGAAACGTCTGGAAGAACAACCTTCAGAACACGGCCAAAGAGCCCGAAAAACCCACAACAACTATCACTGTTTTTTGTTTTGTTTTTTATATTCTTAATGGTCAACTGAAGGTATCACATATTCCTGCATTTGTATTGTTTGCACAGCCTTTTCCTGATTTAGCCTAGATTAGCATTTTTTTAAAAAATGTGAAATAATAATTTAATGCTGTGTTTTGGAAAGTTTTTCAGTGTTCCTCAATAAGAAGAAAAAACAGTAAGCTTTCCTGGAAGATGACTTGCTTGTTGCTCCTGACCTTTTTTGCCTTCCTTGGGTAGCTTCAAAGATAAATTGAATTAGCGGCAAAGTGCAGCATCAATCACCACCTTGTAATCAGTCTGCTGAAATTACACAAGATCCTTAAGCCT